TCCATCCATCCATCCATCCATCCATCCATCCATCCATCCATTATCTTCTGCTGGTTCCGGTCAGGTTGTGGGGGCAGCAGCTTGAGCAAGAAAGCCCAGACATCTCTTTCCACGGCCACCTCTTCCAGCTCTTCTCAGAGGAATCCAAGGTGTTCCCAGGACAACCAAGAGATGTAGTCTCTCCAGTGTGTCCTGGGTCTTCCCTGGGGTCTCCTCCTCAACTGGCTCCTCTCAATGTGCACTAGACACTGATGCCATTTTTGACAAATTTACTAAAATCTCTTAAGAACCAATAAGAACCAAACATGTCCCAATATAAAAACACTTTTTTTTTTCACACAAAAGCTACAATTTGAAATTACAGCTTTTCTAGACAGGAATGATATTTTTCAGTAATCACAATATGTTACAGCTAATTTGCCTTTTAAACATTTTTGTATTTTTTCTGACCTGTCTGATTTTGAGGCTGGTAAATACTTTACAGTTTGTGGAGACACTCTCTTGTGAAGTCTTTTTAACATCTCAAGTTGCCAGAAAGAGTTTTTCATTTGGTTTTCCCCCTCCCATTAACCCTCTCACCATCCACCACTGACCTTCTTCATGTAAGATGTACAGGCCTTATTTTGTCTCCATGCCGAGCTCATAAACACATTGTTTTTATGTAATAAGCCAAACAGCTGTTTTTGTCATGGGTAATGTTTCTGCTTTGAAAGGTTTGTTTTGTTTTTGCAGTCTATCACTGGCCTGCTTTGCTTGTGTTGAGAGCTCTTTTGCCAGAATGTTACTGCTTCCAAACACCCACGCCTGTCTATGAGTAAAAGCCTTTTAGTTGATTATCCAATTAGATATGAGCACCTAAAAAAAGCTTCTACGTTTAAAAAAAAAAAAGGTTTTAATTCCCAAATCTCTCTTTCTAATTGGGTTTAAACACTCAAATTGAAGTTTTCAAGCAGCACTTTAAACACTTTTAAGTTCAAGCACTTTTAAGTTCATTATAATCACTTCAAAATAATGCTCAGCGTGCATTTAGCAAATATTGCTATCCAGGAGATGCCAGATAAATTGGCAAAACAGTAGCTAGAGGCTAAATTTAGCAAAACAGTAGCTTAAACATAAAAATAATACAACTGTAGCTGCAAAATTTAATTCAACAGTAAGTTAACAGTAAAGTTAATAAAAATTTTAACAATGCATAATATATATATATTATATATTTAATACAATTTAAATTATAACAAAAACATTCAAATGAGTAAAACTGTAGATAAGAGCTAAAATGAGCAATATTGTGACTTTAAACAGAAACTGACACAACAGTAGCTAAAAGCTGAGGGTGGCTGTAGATGAACAGATGCAGAGATATATTCATCAATTAAAACGGATTCCTCATTTTTCTGGACTGAATAAAACGTGCATTGAATTTAATGAAATGCAAACGTGAGACGTCATTTATCTTTGACCCATCAAAACGAATGCGGTCATATATTTACAGAATCAAAGTTTAACATCAAACATTTACATTAATTTGGCAAAATATGAAAATCACAACATAATCCATCAATCAGGAAAACCATACGGCCATGATTTTCCGTTGCTTCACCACAGACATTTATGAAAACTGTACAATTATGATCAATTATCCACACGGCGGTGGATGAGCACTTTACACAGACATTTCTAAAATATCTGGAAGGATTTCTACTTTAGAGAAGAATTTAAAGATGGAAAGATGGGAGTTTAAAGGGAGTAAAAGATGGTATGTGAGGGGAAGTGTTCACCAGAACCGACACTCTCCATCAGAACCCAGCCTTCCTCGGTACGCTTAGTAGGGAACTTGACTCATTACCTTTCTGAAGATTAATCAGCAGATATGAGGTCCAGTTAACGCTACCTGTCCAGCATCTCCATAGGATGGCTGAACTCGTCCGAAGTAGTGACGAGATTCCGTCCGACACCAGCTCACATCAGCGATAGCAATAATCCAACTCGGAGGAGCCTTATCATGCTGGACTTCTGTTCTCCCAAACAACTTCTCAGCGCAGAACCGAACTGCTCAGAAGCTTCACCGAACCGAACTTCTCCGCACAGAACTGAACTGTTCAGACTCAGAACTCATCTCCACTCAACTCTACTCAACTCTGAGAGAACTAGGAAGTACCGGCATTTTTAAGAGCTCTTTTCCCGGTTCATTTGATCGTCCCGGATTGGTCCAAAACAACCAGACAGGGGTGTGTTTTGTGATGTAAGAGGGTTACTAAAAGTCAGAAAACAGCAAGAATGTTATTGAACAGATTAAACTGTTCTCACAGACAGAGAGTGTTTTGTTTTGGCGAGTTTTAGAAACAGGTGCCAAAACCCCCCTGTTGACGTCTGAGAGGATGTAAAAACAAGGCAGTTGTTCCAACACATGTCTGCTTCGACTCCTGACCTCGGAAAATGCACACTTGCTCATTCAAAGACAGAAATCAGAAAATGCATAATTACTCTGTAACAGCTTTAACATGAATTCTAACTTTGCATGAGAATTAAAAATCATTACACTGTTTCACAGTTAATAAAATTGATTAGTTCACTGCAACATCTAAAATGGTTTGAACTAAGACACTTTGATTATCAACATTTGTAAAATAGTAATGATAATAAAAAGAGAGTGTTCTTCCACTTGATTTTCAAGAAAGAGAGTCTCAGGATGGGTGAACCTGTATTTCTGGATTCAAATCAATGAAATGACAGTTCCTGTCCCACAAGGTTCTTAAGGTCAAGGGTTTTGACCTTAGGCTTAGTCTTGACATCAGGTTAAGTTCACTACATGGCAAACCACAAGTTAAATATATAATTGATCAAATCATGCCCAAAAGAAAAAAAAAATAGCAAAGTCAGTGCTCAAAGCTATAATTAGTAAAATATAGCCTCAAGCAAAAATGAGCAAAACAGCAACAAAAACTAAAATAGCGTATAGTAAAACATGAGCTCAAAGCTAATGTGACAAAACCATAATTAAAAGCTAAAATCAACAAGGCAGTAAAAAGCTGAAAGGAGCAGAAGAAGAACAAATGCAAACATTTTAAATCGAGAGAGAGAGCAATGCTTTTAAAGATATCTTAATTAATTTATTTAAAAAAGTTCTCATAAATGAAGATAAACAATTCAAAAAGTAAGAAAATTGAAGAAAAAAATCTGAAAATCATAGTACACCATTTTTGATCGAGATAAATGCTTTAAGGGTAAAAAAAAATACTGTGCAGTTTATGCAGAAGTAGTTTAATTGCAGAAAGGTAATGAATCAACTAAAACCATGAAGACAAACAAACAAACAAACAAACAAACAAACAAACAAACAAACAAACAAGAACATGTTTTCCATTTGGTCAAAGAATCAAATATGAAACCTGACTGAATGACTACAGCGTCTAACGACCAAGATCTTTTAACTGCTCTGCTTAACTGAGGATTAAACATTTGTTCATTATCTGTTTGTTACTTTTTAAAACTTCTAACAGAATGCTTTTAACTTTGAAAAACTTTCCTCATTTAGGAGTTCATGCTGGCCACAGGTAAAGTTTGATCTTGATTATTTGTAAGAATATAATGTTTATATGTTAGTCGGGTGTACATCTTTAATGATGTCATCATTTCCATGTTGTGTCTGACATCTAGATAAGTAAATACAAAAAAAAAGAGGAAAACCTGAATCCAAAGTACACACACACACGCGTACACAATGGTTCTACCATTTTCTCCCACATGTCACGTTTTCTTCTTTTGGCCTTTATCGGCTAAATGCCAAAACATAAACTTTAACCTCCACGTAAATTTTATTTCTTTATTAAAATAAACTGATTTCTTTTGTTTGACTTGTTTTTTTGTGTGGGCTCAAAATCAAATGTGTGACCCCCGCATCCCCCCCACCCCACCCCCACCCACACACACACACACAATAAACACAAAAGAAAACATTGCCTCTGGCTTTAGATGAGAACATAAATGTACAAGTGATCAATAAATGAGCCACTTTGTTTTTTTTATTATTCACCTCAAAGGAAAAAAAGGCTTCTTGTACATTTTCACCCTGGCTCTGATAATGTGTCCGAGTCAGATGTTGGTGTTTAGAGACCTTTTTTTTATTCCAATCACAAAATAAAAAAATAAAGAACAAATCTGGAGTCAGTTCCAGAGAATAGTAGTGGTCCACTTCAAGTCACATTAACATTTAAATCATCCTAACACAGAAGACTTTTAGAAAGCATAAACATTTGAACAATATAACCAAAGAAACATCTATTTTATTTATTTATCAGTGAAAACACTTTGTATTTTGACCTATAAGGGCAAAAAATGCTGCTGTGTTTATAATTAATAAATAATTTAAAATGACAATTTATTTATAAGATCGTAAGCTACGCCAGCTCAAGTCAATTCTAAAAATGGTTTATTTCAGTATACCTGCATGTATTTGTCTCTGTGTCAGGTTTGTTAAATATAAAAGGAAGTTCTATAACTAATCGTTAATTATTATTCAGTGGAAACATAAAAACACAATGACACTTTTGATTTAAAAAAAAGACAAATTTATGAAACATTTAGTAAGATTTTCAGTTTTGTGGATGCTCATATTAAAAACTTGTGAAAAAAAGTAGAAAAAGGTGTCAGACATTAGTTTGCAGACATCTGTTCAAAAAGGTTTAACCTGTGCTAAACTTAAAGTTTTATGGCTTTGGTGGAAAAAAAACATTTGATTTGATAAAATATAGTAAATATTAAAATGTTGTAATTTTTGGGAATCTAAAAACAACCACTCTATTAACAAAATGTATTTTTTTGTAAATAGTACAACATACAGGAAGTGTTGCAACTTTCAAATGATTTTTGTGTTGTGTTTGTTTGTAAAATTAGATATATTATTGTTAAACAAATGCGTTGATATATCAGTTGTTAATTTGTGTCAGTAATTCTTTGTGTTTTAGGGCTGAGATGAGATTGTGATTTGAGAAGAGCAGTGTCAGTAAAATAAGTGTTCTTTTTAATTCCTCACACTACAAGACAAAGACTTGTTGTCCAATTGGCATCATGTTTGTGTGGACCACAGGGAGTCAGAAAACAGAGATGTAAATATCTACCTCCATCATTTCCTCTTTTTAATTACTTAATAATGAGCGATAACAAGCTGGCGCACAGTTGTTTTCCCTCCACTACACCCTCCCACCTGCTTTAAATTCACTCTCTGGCTTCTCATTAAACCCTACAGCTCAGGTTTCAGCTTTTCCATCAGCCGTCTGATTTAATTTTAAACCCCAACTTCATCCTCATCAGGCTTCTACCGTTTCCTGTTTCTGTCTTGTACCGTGAAAGCTGCCAGGCCCGTCAAAAGGACGGGAAGAATACATAGCAAAGAAAGCAGAATATGAAGAAACCAATGAGCCAGTTGATGGAGTAGATGTAAATGATGACCATGTCCATGTCAAAACGCCAGCCTCTGGGGTCATCCTCCAAGTCCAAGTCATCGAGGACGAAGCCTCCTGCATGGGGGAACTGACGTCTCCCGCCTGGGCTGGGCTGCCTCTGGAAACCTGGTTTGAAAACCAAACGAGTCATCTCATCTGCCAAGTGTTTTTTTTTTTTTATTACACATTTTTAAATCTGACTTTAAAACATCTCAGGATTCTGCATGTCAGGATTTCATGTAATTTAAAGTGAATTTCAATCAGAAATTTAGGCTATGAGATAAACTTACAGACTATTTCTGATTCATTTTATATATATATATATATATATATATATATATATATATATAACACTATTTATTTGAATTTACGTTAATAAAATGCCCCGTGATAGACTTTTAACCATCCAGGGTAGAGGTGGGCAACATTGTTTTCCAAAGGGCCATATCAAGACATTTAAAGCAATTAAAGGGCAACATGGAGAATTGGATTTGTTTTATTTTTTTGACAGATAATCTATAAGACATTTTTCAGATTTTTTCTTGTTGTAGCATAATTAGCATGCTTTATAAAACAAGTCCTTCCATATGTTTTAGAAATATAAGACATATTCTGTAAACTGACTCTTATGACACTATATTATACATGTTAGCTTAACATGCTAGCAGAAATACGCAAAACAAACGTATGCATTTAAGTTTCAAAGTCTTTAAGGTTCAGTCTGGAAATATGACTTAAAAATGTTTTTAAGAAGTGTTTTGTAAGATATTTAATTTAAATTTCCATAAGCCTTGATGATAAATTGCTGTTTTTTATCTATCTGTTTTTAAAAATGTTTTTTTCCTTTGAACTAAGGATATAGAGAATCTAACGGAGATTGTCCAAGGACCTTAATTTGCCCATGTCTGGTCCAGGGTGTACTCTGCCTCTCGCACAGTGACTGCTGGTCATGGGAACCTGAGACCCCAGGGAGTTGAAAAGGAAAAGTCAGGTAAAGATAATGGATGGATGGATGGATGGATGGATGAATGGATGGATGGATGAATGGATGGATGGATAATGAATATGAAAATGTACCTGTCTTAAAAATACTATAATTTTTTACATTTAAATGAATTCTGTACTTCTTTAAGATAAAATAAGCTCATTTTCAGTCTTTAAATTGGAATTGGAGTCTCATAAAAAAAGATCCTGCTCACTCTCGATGAAGGCAGACGCTTTTATACCTCTCCTGTCCTCATGTTTCCTGTGCTGAGTTGTTTTTTTTGTTGTTGCAACTTTCACACTGTGTCCCATCTAGGACACAGTGTGAGATATACTTTTTTTATATACCTTCCCTCGTGTTTCTCTTTTCCTTATCTAAACGAAAAGGGCGGCGCCTCCCATGAGGCCACGACCTCAGACACCTCCGTCTCTCCATGTCTGTTTGTTTATGTTTCTCGGATGGGCTGTACAGAAATGTAATTTTGTTATGCTTCGGTGCAATGACAATAAAGCTGATTCTGAAAAGTTGAACAAACCAGCATGTCCATTTCTGCATTGATGCCAAAACCCTGGTTTTGTTAAGAATTGCTTAGGTAAAAACAATTTATTCTACACTTACAGGGACACAGAGGCATTTGGTAAATTAAAGATAAAATATTACAAAGCGTAAATGCTTTTTGTTACTATTTACAAATGTTTTGATGTAGTTTTTTGTCACTTCACACAAGATTCCCCAGAACTATAATCAAATCTTTCACTGTGCAGCTTCATGAGCTGCTGGCATTTTGCAGCTAATTAAAAACTTGCCTCCAAAGATACGAAAGAGTTTTCTGCAGCTTGGAAGAGGCCACTTTGCACAAGGTGCTCTCTGAAAGTTCTGTTTCCGAGAAAGGTATTCCTTTGGGAAGAACGTCTTTGCTGTTTGATTCAGCTCTAGAATGAAAACAAAGAAATAACAATACAGTCAAAATCCCAACATCTTACGAACAAAGAGAATGTTCGACTCTTATGTTCAAAACCTACATATTGTGCTTCATTAGACTCCCTGATGCTCGTCTGGATGTGGTTCAGGGTCACCTTGGTTTTGGTAATGAACAAAATGATCATATCGAGTCGTGCAATCATTAACAAGAGCCCTTTCTGCAGTTCTCATAACCATCCATCCCTGCAGCGTGCACTGTGTATCCAGAAATAGGCCACTGTGACTCATGAAAGCCTATTACTTATTCATATTTTTGTCTAAATCAGATTTTCTGTACATAGTCAGTGTATTATAGGCTTGTGATTACACAAAAAGCAAGAAACAAAATATGATTGAGTTTGTTTCTAATAAATGCTGTGTAAATGCTAACATGTCATGCTCATTTTTCACAGGTGCAAACAAAACAACAGACACCTGTTTTTGACTCCATCACTGTAGATTTTCTACAAAAAAAGGAACTCGCGTCTTGCTTCCGTTGAAGTGCACTAAATAAAAGTGTTCAGAAAGTGTTTGATTCTGTCTTTTTGGCCTCCGTGACTCATCTGGTGTGAGCCGAGCTAAAGGTCTGCCCTGCTCCGTTACAGGACGTCTGCAGCTGGGCCCTGCAGCTCACACACGGCTGCTTGTTTAGTCTAAACAAACGTGATCTCATATATTTACCTTGTCATGTGCATACTTTAGTCTTTTGTAACTATTGTTGCTATCATAGTACTATTATGTTGATGTTTTTGACTTGTCTCACCCTTTTGGAAGAAAACATGTGTGATGATGGTTCTGCAGAGGGGGCAGGGGGTATTAGTCGGGCTGTTCTTCGCTAGTGTCCTCAGACAGGGTTCACAGAAGACGTGGTTGCAAGGATGACACATGTACGGACTGAAGTACACATCCAAACACACAGCGCAGATGAAACCTTCTCTATCCCCCGGGCTCTGGGCCTCCTCATCCTCACTACTGCTGCTGCTGCTTGGGTTTCCTGTTGAACTCTAAGGGTGAAGACAAAAAGGCAGAAGCTTTTAAAGAATACCGTAGCTTATAGACAACTACGTCATTGTCGCAGCTCATGTGAACCAACCATATTTTTTATGTGTAACAGAGGCCTGATGTTGTTGCAAAAACATTTTAGTAATCAAATATTTATAAGTGTAGCGTTTGCAAACTTAATCCCTGAGACATTTTCTTCCTCCAAATACATGAAACTGTAGCTATGTCATGAGACAACTAGCGATTTGACCCCTCACAAACAGTACACGATGTCAAAATGGATGTTCTCACAACAAGCTCTCACTGTACAGCAGCCGTTTATAAATACATATTGTGCTCATCTTGTGTTTGTCTCTTTGCCTTCGTTTTTGATGAGTGCTAACCTTATTAATGCCCAGATAAATAGCATAATAATATGTGTGAGCACATGAGGGCGTCAGGTGTGGGTTCATGGGTGTGAAATGTCTGTTTCTCACATCTTACGGTGGTTAGAGAAAAAAAGCTGATCTTGGTTTTTCTAGCTTGGATTATGAGGAAGGGAAAAGTGGTCTACCTCAAGATAAACTATTCAAATCTTCACTCAAATTTTCATGAACCACACCATGCACATGCACATGAGCTGTATATTGAGAACTTTGTAAGAAGCCCCCTCCGCCTCCATCTCCCAAACCTCAATAAAAATCTATATTGTAGTCAAGAGTCAAACTGCTGAACTTCTCAAACTCCTCTCTTATTCCTAACGGTCTGCTTGTTCTCTTTTCCGACAGTTTCTGCTCCTCAATCCACACTGAGCTTAACATTTCTAAATCCAACATATACTTCATGTGAGGAGGATGCTCTGGAGCTTCTCATGTCCCCCATCTCCTCCACAGAGATGCCTCTGCAGACCAATGGATGGGGGGTGCTTGTGTCTGGAGCTGGAGCCTTGGGGCGTTTTCAGGGTAATTAACACGTTCTTACCCAGGGGGAGCTCCAGGGACTTCCTCTCAGCACCGGTCCTGCTGCCTTTCAAGGTGTGTCATTAACACAGAGAGGGGAGTACTCTGGGCACAGAGCTCTTAAGTAATCATGGACACTGAGGTGCTCCCCTGGCAACGTGCACTGTAACAAGACAGCTTTGTCCTGGTTACTGTGGGTTCATAAATACAGCAGTCACATATTTTACCACAAGGTTAATGTACACAAAGAAGTCAAACTGTAGATTAATCTTCCTATTACACAGCAATTTAGCATACAAATATGAACTTTATTTATAAAGCTACATGGAAATAGTAGTACAGTAGTCCCTCGTTTTTCACGGGGGATCTGTACCCCAAAGCCCCGCGATAAGTAAAAAAACCCCACTAAGAATAGTAGTACAAGTAGTACAACGCTCTAAAAGAGCACAGAATGTCATGATGCTCCCTGCCTCCTCTGCTCTTTACCATCTGCAACCGTTCTCGGCCACGCCCACTTCTCAGCTCTGCACGGAGAACAGCTGATCAGCTGCAGGAGGAAGCTTATCTTGCAGTGTGGGCTGCACAAATGTGCAGCAGGTGCTAGGTAATTTCAAATAAAACCGTGATTGAGTCCACAAAAAACGGACCACGAAGTAACAAGGGACTACTGTACTGCTGAATTTTGAATTATATTTGAGTCTGATGAGTTTTATTTTGGAGCAAGGTCAGCTACAGTCGTGTCTGTGTTTAAAACCAAACTTGAACTTTTCTTATTCTCCCAGACAGTTAGTTCATTGCAGTCTGTGCTCATAATTTCTAATGCATTTTTCTACACTTGACACTTTCACACTGTCCAGATGACCTGACTGAAAATTGTTGGATTGTATACCTGGATTATTGAGCATGGACTTTTTTGGTTTTGAACCAGTTTGACGTGACTGTCGACGAGGAAGAGGGCCAGCTCCAGAGGAGGGGGCATGCCAAAGACACCATCTTAGTATCAATATAACTGGTTTGCTCCACTTTGGAGTAAGCTGTTTGGGGGAAGAATCAGTTTTGTGCTGTGTGTTTCCTTGACTGATGAAGTCTTCTGGATGAAAGGTGAAACATTTCAGCAAAAAAGAAAAAGAAAAAAGAAAGAAACTGTCCAGATGACCTGACTGAAAAATGTTGGATTGCATACCTGGATTATTGAGCATGGGCTTTGTTACTTGCCAATGTAATTTATTGCAACAACAGGTCTTTAAATGGAAAAGGGTCAAAAGGTTTCACCACAGCATCAACCAAAAACACAAGTGCAAGAGATAGAAAATATATTTGAAAAAGGCAAAAGTGATTTCTTAGAATCAAACTATAAACACCACCAGAAGTTTTTATTTTTATTTTTTTAATCTAAAATGTAAAGTAGAAATTTATGAAGAATCAGCTCTAGGTCATCATGAAGTCTGTTGCTGACTACCCAGTGGCAGCTTTGCTGTGGTTAAAGTTTAATAATAACTGCATTTGTATAGATATACAACCAGATAACCTCCTTTGTATGAATTATGTACATGAGCAAACTGACTCATTCAGATTCACCTGAATAAATTCAAGTTAAAAACCAAAACCAATATTTACATGTATTAATTATTACTTTTTTATTGTTTGTTTTGTTTGTAGCTGACAAGATTGTCCGTCCGTCTGTCCATCCATCCATCCATCCATCCATCCATCCATCCATCCATCCATCCATCCATCCATCCATCCATCCATCCATCCATCCATCCATCCATCCATCCATCCATCCATCCATCCATCCATCCATCATCTTCCACTAGTTCCAAAGTTGGGTCTCAGGGGCAGCAGCTTGAGCAGGGAGGACCAGACATCTCTTTCCACAGCCACTTCTTCCAGCTCTTCTGGGAGGACTCCAAGGTGTTCCCAGGCCAACCAAGAGACATAGTCTCTCCAGAGTGGCCAGAGACTTCCCCGTGGTCTCCTCCCAGTCGGACATGCCCGAAGCACCTCCCTAGGAAGGCGCCCAGGGAGCATCCTTATCAGATGCCTGAACCACCTCAACAGACTCCTCTCGATGTAGAGGAGCAGCGGTTCTACTCCGAGTCACTCTCGAATAACTGAGCTTCTCACCCTATCTCTAAGTGTGAGTCCAACTACCCTGCAGAGGAAACTCATTTCAACTGCCTGTATCTGCGATCTTGTTCTTTTGGTCACTACCCAGAGGTCGTGACCATAGGTGAGGATAGGAATGTAAACCGACCAGTAAACAGAGAGCTTTGCTTTACAGCTCAGCTCCCTCTTCACCACAACAGACCGGCACAGAGTCCGCAATACTGCAGATGTTGCAACAATCCGTCTGTCAATCTCACGCTCCATTCTTCCCTCACTCATGAACAAAACTCCAATATACTTGAACTCCTCCACTTGAGGCAGAACCTCACCCTCAACCTGAAGAGATCAATCCACCCTTTTCTGACTGAGGACCATGGCCTCAGATTTGGAGGTGCTGATTCTCATCCCAGCCGCTTCACATTCAGCTGTGAACCACTCCAGTGAGAGCTGAAGATCACAGCACAATGACGCCAACAGGAGCACATCATCTGCAAAGAGCAGAGATGAAATCCTGCAGCCACCGAACCAGAATCCCTCCGCCAGCTGGCGGCACCGAGAAATTCTGTCCATAAAAGTTATGAACAGAATTGTTGACAACGGACAGCGCTGGTGGAGTCCAACTCTCACCTCGAAGAGGTCTGACTTACTACCGACAATGCAACCAAACTCTTGCACTGCTTGTACAGGGACTGAACAGTCCGCAACAATGGGTCCCCAATCCAACGTGGAGCACCCCCCCAGTGTACCTCGAGGAACACGGTTAAACATCTTCTCCAAGTCCACAAAACACATGTAGACTGGATGGGCAAACTTCCATGATCCCCCGAGGACTCTAGTGAAAGTAAAGAGCTGGTCCAGTGTTCCACGGCCAGGACAGAACATGTGTCGTTCCTCCTGGATCTGAGGTTCAACCAACGATCAGACTCGCTTCTCCAGTACCCCTGAATAGACCTTACCAGGGAGACTAAGGAGAGTGATGCCCCCTGAAGTTGGAGCACACCCTCCAGCCCCCCTTTTTGAAGAGGGGAACCACCACTTCATTCTGCCAATCCAGTGGCACTGCCCCCAATGTCCATGTGATGTTGCAAAGGCGTGAGAAGATCAGTCCAAGTAAAAACTGTGTGTGCAAAACACCTGGGTGAAACTAAATCATAGAGCTGGAAAACAGAGAAGAGTATCTTGCCTGGCTCTATGTTTATGCTCTAACCAAAACCTCAATTATCATTTATTTTTTTTATTTACCCTTTATTTACACAGGTAGTCTCATTGAGCCACGAGAACTTATTTTCAAGAGAGACCATATTTCTTATTTGCATTTTTTATGCTAGATAAATACACAACAAAAATAGGAGACAATTATGTTAGCTGGAGCATCATCAAGAGTATTAAACATATACACCACATAAGAACACTGGCACAGAAACTTCAGAAATATATAAAACAGGAATAGCTTGACTGAAACCAAAATATCACCAGACGCCTTCAAATCAAGACGATGACATCATGAAAGTTTCAAATCAAGTAAGTCTCCTCAGCTTTCAGTAACCCTGCAGTCAGAATAATTTTAGTATGCCAACATGACTGCAGCTCAGCAGCGACCAATCAGAACTGAAACAGCTCTTTTGTCTGGTCGCCTGTGAAGGGCCCTCTGCCCGAGCCTCATCATGCAGCTAATTCAGATGTAACCCCACTTTAAACCACACACACAATGGCTATTGAAATGAGCTAGGTGCTGATATGGCTGTCAAGTGTTAGGGGTCTGGATGAAATGAACTCACACACACACACACACACACACACACACACACTGCCACAAAAAGCACTATAAATAAATACAAGAAACTGAATGCAAAAATATAATAGTGCTTATTTTGTTCTGTCACAAAAGCACACACAGTTTTTACTTTGGTTTAGGCGTTCATTTCTCATAAATAGACTTTCGACTGGCTCAGTAAGGTAATTTAAAGCTGCAGAATCTGGATTAAAATCTCAGCATATCTCTTTGGGCTTTGTTGTGTCAACCTAAAAAATATATTTTTAATTTTCATGTAATAAAGTTGTCAAGACTCCCATTTGTTTATCATCGTAATGATTCCTGCCAACTGATACAGAGGAGGCTTCAAAGTGTTTTCCATGTTTTAATGTTTCAGATTGAATAATTTATGACATTTTTGCACAATATAAATATAAAGTTAGTTGAGAAAATTGATTATTGAATTTTTTGATACATGTGACACAGAGGCACTGGGGAAACTAAGAAGTAGAACCACAGCATACTTCACCTGTCTGCTTGTCTGCTGCTGACTTTGTCTCCATCTCTCTCTTCTCCTCTGCCTCCGTCTGAGACTTTTAATCCTGTTTCTCTCTCTTCTCATCACCCTCCTCTCTTCAGTGTGGACATAAGGCAGAGCTTCTGGTGAGGTCAAGGACTGACCCATCACCTCTACCACCCCCCTGCCTTCTTCCTCATCACCTTCTGCATTGTCCTCCTCATCATCTTCTTCATCTTCTGATTCTGACTGGGTGACAGCAGAGGCTTGTGTCTGACTCAAGTTGTTTTGCGACGTTTGTTCAGATGCTGCTCCCGTCCTGACCTCTGCCCAGAAAGGATCTGGATTCCTGTATGAGTTCAATGAATGGTGGTTTGGGTCTCCTGTCACTGGCCTTGATGAAAACCTCTGTGATGGCAGAGCTGGCCGAGGGGGTTGGGAGTTTAAATTGGATGTTACAGTCTGGATGAAGCTAAAGCCCTTGGGTCTAGGACACACGTTTGGCCTCTGAGAGTTGTTTGACATTTCTTCAACTTCTAAAATGCTGGTTTTATGGATGTCAGAAATAAACAAAACTCCACTCCCACTTCCTTGCGTCCCTTGGGCTCCATCTTCCTGTGACTCAACTGTTTCCATCTTCCTTTGTTTTACTATTTCCCGGCTTCCAAGATGTTCAGCTTTGGGCGTCTCTTCATCTCTTTCTCGGTTCCCTTCTCTCCACCTGTCTCTGTTGTCCTCCATGCAGGTCTTTCTTAGTGCTTTTCTTCCGAGCAGGGCAGGTCTCACCAGCTGCGCCACGTTGCTGGACCTTCCCCCTCCTGCCAGATCTACACTCCTCAGCCGAGGTCTCGCCGCCTTCATGCTCAGGGGATTAGTTTCATTGCTCCTGTTTTCTTCAGCACCATCCTCATTCCCACTATCTTCAGTTCTACTTGAGTCACTTACAAGAGATGCTCCCACATGGGAGCTCATGATGGTGGTTATCAAGCCTCTTTCTTGCCAGCAGAACTCATTTGTTGCAACTCTTACTAGCTAAACTGGTCTCACCCCTCCTAACCATTCCACAATATTCTTTCAGAATCCCACTTCTTCTGGATGTGTAAATTCAAATTTTTTTTTTTAAAGAATTGGATAGAGTGTTCCAGTTCATGGGAGATGAGAAGAGCAGCTCTTTGGCTGGGCCTGTCCTGCCCCTCTGACCCCCCTGGGGTCTTCTACTCTGTTAACAAAGACAAAGTCCCCCATGATGAGCCCCATTACAATAGGTACTGGGTTCACGTGGTCTCACCTTTGTCCAGTGATAGAAAACTCACCCCTGAACTCACAAAAATGAGATGAAAAAGCCAGAAACACCCCCACCCACCATGTCCTAAACAACTGAGTCAGCTTTTCTTCTCAATAGTTTATAAGCTGAGAAAAATAGATTAATGTAATAGTCCTGAAACATAGAATTTATTAGCTATAATAAACATGTGGGATTTAGATTTAAAGTATTTTAGTTTAGAGTTGGGTTATAAATATATATACAGGTATATATATTTTTTTCTGGCACATTGTTGTCAATTTGTGTGCTTATATGTTAAGAAAATTGCATACTTAATCTCTTCAGTGCTGTTTTTTCCTCCAGTGGAATATAGTAAATTTATTATTCAAAGTTAAAATAAAATAAACAAAATGTTCAATAGTTTACAATATTTCTATTCACGAGGTTTGTCCTCATCGCTCAGTCAACCTTATCTTCACCTGAACTAAAACCAGAAAGTATCCTGATGCATGCTCAATAATCCAGGAAGAAAAATCTAAAAAAGTTTAATCTGGTCCTCTGGACATTCAAAAAAGAAAAACCCAAAACAAAACAAAAAAAATTGTAGAAACGTTTCGTCTTTCATCCGAAAGACTTCCTCAGTCTGAGGTGCTGTATAAGACTGAGCTGAATACAGCACTTCAGACTGAGAAAGTCTTTCGGATGAAAGACGAAACGTTTCTACAATTTCTTTGTTTTGTTTTGGGTTTTTTTGAATGTCCAGAGGACCAGAATCAATTTTTTTATTTTATTTTATTATTATTATTTATTTATTTTTTTTAGATAAAACCAGAAAGCACGGGGGAACTTCTTTTGGTGCAATATCAGCTGTGGCCAGCAGGTGGCAGCAATAATCCTTTTTGGCCTACTGAGGATCTGTCCCTGGTTCTGAACCTCATCTCTCGCCAGTTATTCAAACTCCTTCATTTTGACTCAAAATACAATTCAGCTCCCGTAAACAGTCTGAAAACTTTCCTATGTTGTAAATTAAACATTTTAAATTTGATCAATTGAAAAGTTAAAACAGAAAAATACAAAAAAAATAAATAAAATAAAAAAAGATCGCTAACTGCCAGGAAACTTCTTCCACATTTAGTTACGTTTTATAACATTACGCATTAATCTTCATGCATATTAAATAATAATAATAATAATAATAATAATAATAATAATAATAATAATAATAATAATAATAATAATAATAATAATAATAATAATAATAAAATGTCCTAAAAGTAAAATAAAGAGGAGCAAAAAGAAAATAGCTTCCTGCCTCTATTGCTGCTTGCTGTGAAATGCGGAGCAACACGGAGCGCACCAGCACAAAACTCTAGGGTGACCCCCCTCCCGGTCTGACGTACCCGAAGCTGTTGGTATAAATGAATTCACGGCATCTCTAAGCTCAGATGACTCGCGGTGCAAATAAACCCACCGGCGTCCACACTCATGGGCTGCCACAAACACACACGTCCACAATCTTTATCGTTCACGCTCACAAACACTGCGTCATGCGTCCTGAGAGCGACAGCTCGAACGCGGCAACTACGATGGACACCTAAGGCGCACGGCAGCGGCCGCAGCAGTCTGAGCGGCTGACTGACTCCTGCTCACTTTGTCCCCCCACACTGCTTCAGGAAAGTTTCACTGAGAGTGTGGCGGCGTTATGGATTTTATAATAAGGAGCAACGACAGCAACGCGACCAGCGGTTACCCTGAAGGGATGGACGTGGTTGCCGACTGGATCGGGGGTAAGAATGTTACGGAGTCTGGGCTTCTGCCAGATCTGGTGCTGGCTTACCAGATCATCACCTCTCTGCTCCTGGGGGCCCTCATCCTCTGCTCCATATTTGGCAACGCGTGCGTCGTGGCAGCCATCGCCCTGGAGAGATCTCTCCAGAATGTCGCCAACTACCTGATCGGATCCCTGGCCGTGACAGACCTGATGGTATCGGTGCTGGTGTTGCCAATGGCGGCCCTTTACCAGGTTTTAAACAAGTGGACTTTGGGGCAGGAGATCTGTGACTTATTCATCTCTTTGGATGTGCTGTGCTGTACATCATCCATCCTGCATCTGTGCGCAATCGCCTTGGACAGGTACTGGGCAATAACTGACCCCATTGACTATGTAAATAAACGGACCCCAAAGCGAGCTGCGCTCCTGATCTCTGCAACTTGGTTCATTGGTTTTTCCATCTCCATCCCGCCTATGTTAGGGTGGAGAAGCGCCGAGGACAGGGCGAACCCGGACGCCTGCATGATCAGCCAGGACCCGGGCTACACGATCTACTCCACGTTTGGAGCGTTTTACATCCCTCTCATCTTGATGCTGGTTCTGTACGGGCGGATATTTCGGGCCGCTCGGTTTCGGATTCGAAAGACGGTGAAGAAAACCGAGACGGCAAAAGTTTCAGACAAGTGCTTGACCATATCACCCGCCATCTTCCACAAGAGAAAGAACGGGGAGAGCGGCGGCAAGGGCTGGACGCGCTGCGACGAGTCCAAAACCGGTTCCCCGTGCGTAAACGGCGCGGTGAAGCACGGAGACGAAGGCGAGTCGCTGGAGATTATAGAAGTTATCAGCAACTCCAAGACGCACCTGCCCCTGCCCAACACTCCGCAGTCGTCCTCGCAGGGCTATGAGAGCTTGAATGAGAGGAACTCGGGGGCAAAGAGGAAGCTCGCGCTGTCTCGGGAGCGCAAAACGGTGAAAACGTTAGGGATCATCATGGGGACGTTTATCGTCTGCTGGCTGCCCTTTTTCATCGTGGCGCTGGTGCTGCCTTTCTGCGCAGACAGCTGCTACATGCCGGACTGGCTGGGCGCTGTTATAAACTGGCTGGGCTACTCCAACTCCCTCCTGAACCCCATCATATACGCCTACTTCAACAAAGACTTCCAAAGTGCTTTCAAGAAGATCATAAAGTGCAAATTCCACAGACCATAAGCGCATAATTCTACACGTGCAGGGCAAAATAATGGACAAAAGGCAGGAAAAAAACAAAAAACAAAACAAAACAGACTTTCATTCAGGGACAGATTCTTTTAGATGTGTGAAAGGATTGTGTTAAAAAATAGTAATAAAACAGAAAAAGGGCAGATATTTTTGTTCCCAATGTACAAGCTCATGTTTCTTCCGTGTTGTGGTAAACATGCGACACATCGTTCTAACGCCACGTCAGACGTGTCCTGTGCTGATTCCATGCATTTTGATCATGAGCCACGTGGGGTTTCCGTCCCACGCCAGCTTTGTAGCACTGAAACAATAAAAGCAATCCCCTTGTCATTAAGAGATCTGGAGTGGGTTTTTGTTCAAGAAAGGAAGATATAGTGAAGGATGTCCTAAAGGTCAGGTCATCAGGAGTGAGTGGAGCACAGCAGGAGAAACGTGATGCTCTGCCAGGCCTCTCTGATGTGCAGCATATGGGGGAATCTCAGTTTATTTTAGCTAATAGGTTTAGATAAAACCCACTTTGAAACCCAATTTAAAGCTGAAAGCAGCATTCATCTTTCTAGTAATGCAACCATCTCCCTCTTTCTCTGCTCGTTCAGATGTCTCTAATAATATTGTTTCAGCTTTGATTTCCAGATGTCTTAAAGAAAAAAAAATCACTGAAAAAAAAGAAATACAAAAAAAAAACTTTTTAGTTGCACTTTGAAGTTTCCACTTAGTCGTTCTGTACAATTAAAAGCGAGACACTATTTTAACAAACACGCACGATTTGAGAAAATGTGCTCCCTTAGATATTAAAACGTCCACCCAACAGAAAATGTAAGAGGGAAGTTCATGACTGCAAAGCTGCGGTAACTCCTGTCATCTGCTACATAAATCCCATACACAAATCCACTTACAGGAGGAGATACAAAGATAGAGGCTGTCAGAGGAAAACAACTTTCAGGAAGAAGCCCCAGTGAGCCCTGCATGCTGCTGAAGATGGGTGGCTATTTGACCTGTTGTCGTGGCAACACATCAAGCTCAAGGCTTAGTGGATCTGTTGGAGTGGCAGGCAGGCTGGGGGCTGAGGACAGGCAGGAATGCGAGACACAGCATGACAATTTAGAGATGACAAATGCTGTGTACAAAGATGTTCTGGTAAAGGTACTGAGTGAGGAACAAGACTTGTTCCATCACAAAACAAAATTCTAAAATGGCAGCTCGTTACGAGTCACTTCATGGAGACAGAACTTTCCTCAGAGATGGTGTTCTGTTGGAGTCTTTGACTTTTTTAATATAAATCCCAAATATAAGAGTGAAGAAGACCTTTAATCAAGAAGCAAGCGGGTAATGTCAAATAATTTTGTTTGTTCTGCAGCAATAAAAGAAAACAAAATAAATGAAAAAAGTGTTGAGGAATTACTCCTCTGCAGCGTAACTGTGGTCACTAAATAAATAAATAAACATGTTTCATCATATGAAGATTAAGAGGAATATTTAAGTTGGAGGTTCAGCTTCATTTAGGCTCAAACAGTTTTCTTTGGCTTGTCAATCCAACATGGCCGCTTCCGTTTATGGTGTCATTTTCTAATTTTTCACTGAGGTTGTTCATAATAATAGGTCAAAGTTTTTTCCTAAAACATTCAAATAGGTATTTAACACAAGATTGCACATCAGGTGCAGTGGCTGGGAGAGTCAGGCTGCAGAAGGACGTTTCTAGATGCAGCTCTCTGTCATCCTGCTCCTTTCAGATATTTGATCTTATGCTCCTTGCTTTGATTTTCATTTACGGTGCAAAGACATGCATGTTATCCTAATAAGTGATCCTCAATGGGCTGCAAGTGTAAGCCTGCATGGCTGTCTGTCTCATTATGTTAGTGTTTTGATAGAGGGGTGACCTGGTGTTTAACTCGTCTCTTGTTCACTCATAGCTGAGTCATTCAGTGGATGGGCTAAAATAAAACAACAATAACAAAAACTGTAAATCTAACCAGAGTTAGTAACGTGAATGTGAGATTCTAGTGCTTTCCCTCCTGCAGCTCCCTGAGCGGCAGGGTGGTGCCATTGAGCAGCAGCTGAGGCCAGTTCCATTAATGAGCTCCAGAGGTAGAAAAGACTGATGAAGTGTTCTTGTCTCTGCTGGAACAATGGATGCCAACTGGTATTGTGACAGTGTGCTTGTGTTTTCAACTAAGCGTTATACTTACCAGTTCTCTGTGTCCTCCTAGTCTTGATTCCTGAAGCATCCTCTTGGACTTCTCTGTTCTCCTCCGTGTCTACAAGCTGAGTACATTCTTGGAACTGGTGCCACTTGCCTTCATCCTAAGCCTGTCCTGCCTTCAACCTGCCTGCCTACATTCCACTAGGGTACCAGCTGCCTCATCATCTCCATCCCTGCCATATATACCTGGAATCCTCCGCTCTTCTCTTTGTGCCGTTGGACCACACGTGGCCTGTATGAAGAATATTTAATTCTATCCTCATCACTGCACCATACTTACCTGTCTCCCTCCTTTGCACATCCTTCCAGTGTTTCATGTAAAGATTATACTTTAAATAAATACCCTTAATCCTGAGCTGCTTGAGTCTGTTGCACTCAGTTTCTCTGCTCTGGGTATTTATCGTTGCAGTTATGAGACAGAACTGGGTTACAATACAGACAACATTCATAATTGCTGCGGTCTTGAAACAGTCTAAATGTGTGTATTGTCATTTAGTTTCAAACAGTCAGAACAGTAAAACTTGTATTGCAGTATAATATCTGCACTTATGCTTAAAGCGAGACAATAAATATCACTTGTTTTCCATTCTTGTCTCTGAGATGTTAAGCTCTGTTTTCCTTTTCCCATATGGTTAGTATGGTAAATTGACAAAAGTTTTGCATGTGCCAAAAACATGTACTAGTTATTGGGGAAATACTTTCCAAAAAAGATTTACTTGATAAAGCATCAATGGGGAGGTTTTTAAAAATGCCATGAAGTATCAAAGAGTTTTTAAAGAGACAAATGGAGGCAGGCAGCCATAAAAGCTCTTTTCTCACATTTCTTTCTATTACTCCCTTTTTACTGCTTTTAATGCAATATAAACCTAATCAAAAGGCTTTTGAGAAAATTAATCACACATCTGCAACCCCTGGCACAAGTTCTGGGCTTCTGCCAGGCTCCGAGACGCCCATGTGGAGGATGTGTTATGAGCCACTGAGGAGAGCAGAGTGTAACTCTTTTGTGGATCACAATGAGGATGTGAAACCATTAAGATCATTACATGTTGCTCCTGATTTATGGGATTACAAAGCAGCTGAGCATCTTTGAACTCTGCTGTAATATCAAAGGTTTGGATTGCGAGACTGCGCTAATCCCACTCGCTATGGGAGCCTCGAGTGAAATATAGGCAGGTGGGTGCAGACTGATGACGCAGGAGCGCTTTGCTTCAGCCCAAAAAAGGAAAAGAGATGAGGAGGCGAGACGAGAGGACCGAAAAAGGGAGAATTGCATCTCTTGTAGTTTGCAGTTTTTATATTTGATTATCACTGTCAAACTTTAATTTATGACCATGCATTTTATGTTTTTACATTTTGTTGGACGTATGGAAGCATGTTGTTTTATAGTTTATTAAAAGCAACTGAAGTGTTCTTGTTTTGACACATTAAAAATGTCATAAATGGCACAGATTTCATATATATAGATTTTAAATTTGACTTTAACACAGGTTATCCCCCACCCCGCTTCAAAACAAACAACATCATAAATGTGTGGAAAAGGTGAACCACCCACACCTGCCTCCACCCTCATTTGCCCCACGCTGGGCCCTTGAGCAAGTCACTTAACCCCCACCCTAGATGGCAGCTCCCTGCTCCACACAGAGGGCTGTGGTAGCTTGATGACCTGTGGGTCCATCAGGCAGGGCATCCACTGAGTCTTTGTGCGAGTTAGTTCACTGTGCCGGCACCGGAAGAAGGGAGCAGCCGAAAGAAGAAGAAAGAGAGAGAGAGAGAGAGAAAAAGACTTTAACACAAAGCTTGTTCTAAAAGCTGCCTTGTCAGTTTTTAGGTGATAATTAAACTTAATTCAATGTGTTAATAATTTTTACTGATTGATGTTAACCATAGCTATTATCAGATTCAATTAGTGGCAATTAAGAAAAAAAAAACTCAAACTTTAAACATTTGTTTTTTTTTTTTTATGTTTATTTGACCTGGAGACAGATGTAGAAAACACTGATTCACAAAGGATCAGGTGAGGTCATTTCTGATGGTTATCAGTAATCAGGTAGTGAAGGCAGAAGGTCCAGGAGGGAAACCCACATGTTCTTCTCCTCAGCGTCACTCTGCAGCTCCTCCCGGGGGATCCCAAGAATCCCAAGGGCCCCGGGGCCTCTTCTCGTTGGGACGCACCCAGAAAACCATCACTGAAATACTGGGGTAAAATATTGTCACATTAAAATTCTTTAAGATGTTCCCCAAACCTCACCTCTATTAAACATTTTAAACAAAAACATTTAAAAATTATAAATGTGCTTTTTAGAGTAAAGAAGGTTTAAGTTGCAGAGAGTAGATATTCCAGTTTACAACTGACCACCACAGAGGGCAGCTTGGAACAATGATGAATCAGGGATTATGTGTAAATAAGCAATTTTACCAAAACATGTTTGTTAAACTAATTTAAAAAAGGAACTGTAAAAAAAAATAATAAATTGAGTGTCAATCAAAGAAAAATCTATTTCTTTGGTGTTTTCATGAAAAGTCCACAAATAGTTTCAAACATTTCTTTCTGACATTAGTTTAAAAATGTTCCCTGACTAAAATTATGCACAAACCAATGTTTTATTTAAAAACTAAACAGGAATTACAATATTTGTGACAAGTTGGCAACTGTTTAATCTATTTATAAGACATTTCTCTTTCTGCATTGTTTTCAGCTCAAACGAGCGTTTGACAAATTCTGCTCTAATAAAAAGATGTTTATGACAACAGCAAAGCAAACGCAGACAGCTGCTATCATTTCCATTACATAACTCATTCAAATTAACTTTTCTTTTTCCTTTTGTCATAAAATTTAATTTACAAACTTTAAGCATGTTTTACATCACACATCATAAAAACAATCTTTTGACATGATTAGGCAACGAGAACAAAGCACGAGAGTTAAACGTGTTTTTTTCTGAGTAGGAGAAGAAAACTGGGTAAAGTTGTACAATGATGCGACGAGGATAAAATAAAAATGCAAAACAGCAAAATA